ACTACCAACTATATTAACAATTTGAAATCATATATGCACCATTAATATATTCGCTAAAAGCAATGAATAAAGAAAGCAAAACAAGTATAAATAAAGCAAAATTTTTAGAAAAGAAGCACTTAAAATAAGTGGGAATAAATTAAACATTATAAAATTAATTTAAAACCCATTAAATTAAAGAATATTACAATTCATAAATAGAATCCCAATAAGTATACAATTATAGTAGAAATGATATCAATCATTAAACAGAGCATAGGCTTAAAGCACTCTGATTCTGCTGATTACAATTGAAATTCCAATTTAGGAAGAGCTTGATAACATTTTAAAAACACAAATCCCTAAATATATTAATTATATTCAAATTGGATGCAAAAACCATTTAATAAAGGATTTTAATTTTAAATGTTAGAATGGAAATAATGTGTGAGTTATTTTAAATATGATCCAGCCAATTTATTGCTGATTTTTATAGCTATAGTCATAAATGCAGATGAATTACACTAAATGAAAATAATTAATAGCATTTTTGAAAACTATCAATTATGAAGTAATTACAACATTGTTAATTATTTTTAAACAGTTTTAATTTTATAAAATTGGATATGATGTTGTAATGGGGGTATAAATGAAATTAAGGATCTTGTGTTAAATACAGGATTTTACGTCGCTGGCTTTATTATTAAAATATAAAAATAAATAAGAATGCTTATAATTAAGAAATTAAAAACCTTCTATTCTATAAAGCTAATTATAGTAGCATCCTAAGACTATTTGAAAGTCATCTAAATTTTAGAATATCTGAAAATATTTTTCAAAATTAAGATCACCAAACCCTATCATAAAATTGGATAGAAAACCCTTCTATTTCTTGGTGGAGCTGCTTTTTTTTGTATCTTATATTTAAAAGCTGTCCAATTATAAACCTAGATAATAATTAATTATTTTTTTCATTTTTTTTATGCACAGCATAAGAAAATGCAGTCAGGAGAGAATTTTTTTGAAGAGTGAAGAATGATAGGAAGTCACTCTTCGTGTTTCTAGTGCTTTTCAGTTTATTGAAATCTAGGGAACCTAAAATAGACTATTAAAATATCTTGAATGTAGTTTATACCAATTTAAACTGAAAGCAAATTTAATCATAGATGCTAATAATATATCTGGAATAATTTTTCTTATAACTCGTGATTCATTATCAAAAACAGAATAGACAATAGGCTAAGTTATGTGCTTGGGCAAAAAAGGATTTTTATAAACAAACTGTAAGATTTCCTGAGCAAAAAATAAAATCTTATGTATTAATGATATTTCTTTATGCAAATTTAGAATGTTAATGAATTTGGAATGAATTGAATAAGAATTTTGATAATGCAAATTAAACATTGAAGATAAAAATCATAAATATTATATTACAACTTATGAAAAATCTTTATAATTTCATTATTGAAAATCCTAAAATTAAGTGCCAAATTCATTTTTGGATGCGAGGTAATTTTGATCTCATTTAATATCGAAAATATTCTTCTGCTATTGCAATTACCTTTATTTGAATATTAATAATCTCAGCTATAATTTATAAATGTTTGATATCTTCCAATATGTGGCATTCAATTATTGGTCTACCTTAAAAGTTATTATTTGAATTATTTATTTATAGTTCCCATCTAATTCAATTTAGGTGCGACCTTGATCTTTTTTAATTAAAGGAAAGTATTTCTAAAGAGCAACCATAGAATAACAAATTACAATTAAAAATTCATCAAAATTTATAATATGCATCAGTTTTTAAAATGTGTAAATCTGTATTGTATGTATTACCTCCTGCATCTAATACATCAAATCTTTCAACGAATTAATCTGGAAATGTTATCTTGACTATTGAAGTTGCTAATTTACTATCATATATTTTGGTTTGAACTCCATTCAACACAGCATAAACAATTATTGTATAAAATCTGATATCTTCACCCCAAAGATAACCTAAATCCCAAAGCCAAATTTTAAATGTATTCAATAAATATTTTTACATTAGTGAAATGGAAATATTTTGGTTTATATGACAACCGGTATAGGGCAACTCCTTGGCTATAATAGTATAAGCATCATCCTTTAAACAAGAACCTAAATTTCCACCCCAAAAAAAATTATGTCTTGCTTGTGAAATCAATGCTCCAGCTTATTATTATAGCACACTCTTGTGATTTCTCTTCAACAATAATTCTTATACCTTAATTTAGCTCAAGCATCCCTGTTTGGTAATCTATATTAAGAAAATGTAAATAATAAGTATTAACTCAGCCTTCATTTTCAATCTAATAATAAAATAATAATATAACTTTCAACTTTTAAATTACTTAGAGTAATTTGGTTTTGGGTTTGGCTAAGACTGGCATATAACAGTCTCTCTAAGATGCCAGTAAAAATATCTAAGCCATGAAAAAATGTATAATTGTTATGAACCCTTATTTGAGGATTAAATAGGCAATGAGATTGGTTACTATATTTGGATGAAATATGTTTTTAAATAGGGGGTAAAATTTGTGATATTGTGAAAATTAAGATTATTCGAAATAACAAAAAAAATTAAATTCAACATCCAAGACGACGCAAAAACAAAGCAGTGTGATTTAAAAAGGAAAATTGATATTCTCTGATAGTTATTAAATATATGTGGATTTACTGCTTAAGAGAAGTGTTTAATGAATAATTCATATTTGATTAAAATGCTTTTAGAGGTGTGGACAAATCTATGAAAGCTTTAAGATGATTTAAAATTATTTTATCAAATTTTATAAAAATCTCAATCACTCATTAATCCTACCTTATTGAAAGTATTTTACTTATTTCTTTTTTCATCTTTTATTAAATTGTTATTAATTTCGTTTCCTTTAAATTTATATTCTTTACTTTAAAATTACTAATATCAGATAACTTTGTGTTTTCTAATTGAATATCATTATTCTAATTCTAGCACTATTAATAACTCTTTTTTGAAGAAAGAGATAAATTTTAAGATTATTGCACTAGAATCAAGGTTAATTTTGAGCATTTTATAAATAGTGATTTTAATTTTACATTAATGCCTATTTAACGAAATCTAATAACAAATCTGAATCAGACACTTAATTCATCATGACTTTCAAAGGAGCATGATATCAGAGAAATCATTGTTAACTCAAGAAAATAGGTTTATTATAATCAGGCTTAAATATAGTAAGTATAGGATAATTGATTGATTTGATTCATTGACAATTTTATTTAGAGGACTTAACTTTTGTTATTATCTTGGATTAACAATTTTTATTTACTTCTTTTTTGCAATTAGAACGTCTATTTGTTGATTCTTAGGTTTTTGCCTTGTGTTGGATCTCTGGGGAATTCATCCGAAGTATTCATTTGTTGAATTATCTCTTAATCCTTTTACATGAAGAATTA